AATTGGAAATAAATTCTTAGCGACGATGTTAGCAACGGTTTGGGTAGACCGTCACTAATTTATGTGATGGTTTTAAAAATTTTGCAACGGTTTTTTTTGTCACTAAATTAGCAACGACCCAAAACTCGTCGCAAAATATTAGCGAGTAATATTTTAGAAACGGTTTTAAGACCGTTGCAAAACCATCGCTAATGAAATTTAGCTACAATTTTCATGGAATTAGACCATCGCTAATTCCTTTAATTCCGATATTGGTTTCTTTTTCATCTCTCGTGGTTGTTTCGTTCTCTTTATATATATATATATATATATATATATATATATATATATATATATTATCTTGATCAGTAATAGCAATGTCGAAATGAATATTGTGTAAACAGTTATATACTTTTTTTTTTTTTTTTGGATGAATGCGTTAACTATTATACATCATGAACAATGGTAAGAATAATCAAAGAAAAAATCAATGCATCATAGACTGGCACAATTATATTGTAGTGACACGTGTTTGACTTAAACAGCAGGCAATGTTGCAACTGTGGAACTGTATAATTTGCAACTGTGACATTCTGTTGAGGAATCAATTACCGCAAGTCCAAATGTTCTCGAGACTTAGTGAAGAAATCTTTTAGCTGCTTTAACAAGTTGTGGGGATGCTTGTCACATCTTTTCAAAGTTTCAGATTAGGAAATTCTTAAAGATTAGGTCAAAGCCATTCCCTTCTCATCACATTGTGATTCCTCTTAACAATCTCATTTTCAAAATGGTTGAGCCTTTTCTACCTTTTTATTGCATGCTTCTATAACAGAACAACCTCTTTGGGGTCTTGGGGCACTCAAAAGCTGAGTTCGTTTTGCGTTGCGAAGGTCATACTAGACATTTCTCATTAACTCAATGGACAACTAAGTATTTTCAATAAAGCTAGGGACACCCATTTGGGTTCCCCCATCAACCTTTAGTGAAAGAATCTAGCATTATATCCTCCCTCAACTTCATATTTAAAAACCATCACCCCCAGGCAATTCTCATGGAAAGCCAAAAAACACTCTTCTCCTTTCACTACTAACATGGCAACCATTCAATCCACACCCACTAACATTTCCTTCTCTAACTATCTCCAATCCCTCTCTCGAACCCCTCACAAGCTTAGGAAAAGAATGCTAGCTACATGGACTCCTGACCAGGAGCTTAACCAAGTTAGGCTGAGGTCTGGTGCAGATATGATAAGGAAACTCAAGTGGTATGACTTGCTAGCTCTTGGTCTAGGAGGGATGCTTGGGGTTGGAGTTTTTGTTACCACTGGCCCCGTAGCCCTTAAAATCTCTGGCCCTTCAGTTTTTATCTCTTATATCATTGCTGGAATATCAGCCCTCCTTTCTTCTTTATGTTACACTGAATTTTCTGTTCAGATTCCTGTTGCTGGGGGTGCCTTCAGCTACCTAAGAGTGACCTTTGGTATCAATAATTCACTAATCTTAATTTCTCCATTAATCTTGATAGACAAGCATTAGAATTTTAATGATGTTTGAATTGATTTTTCCTTTTCTAGGTATATAGTTACATATTATTAATTTTCCTTTTGTTCTTATTTTGGATATGACACAGGAGAGTTTGTAGGTTATTTTGCTGGGGCAAACATACTGATGGAATATGTATTATCGAATGCTGCGGTTGCAAGAAGTTTCACAGAATATCTATGCCATGCTGTGGGAGAGAACCCAATCTCATGGAGAGTTGAAGTGGATGGACTAGTAGAGGGTTACAATAAGTTGGATTTTCCAGCTGTGGCTCTTATACTTCTCCTTACTCTCTGTCTTTGCCATAGGTTTGGTCTTTATTACCTTAGTTTTGTTTGCTTCATGTCTATTTATTTATTTATTTGTGACTAGTGTTTGATATTTTTCATATATATTAATTATGGTGCTGGCAAATTTATGTCACTTGCTAGATAATTCATTGGAAATGTTCAGTGGCCATTTCACTGATCATCTACTTATTAGTGGATCTAGATAATTGTTTCTTACAGTTGGATTAATATGAGTGATTAATTACTTCCATTGGATCAATATATATAGGTTTTGGACAGGTTTAATATTATATTGTTTTTGTTACAATTAGTATAACTAATGTTTTTTTTTTTTCCTCCTCTGTTGATCCTGTAACCATCACTAACAGTACTAATTGATTTTTTTTTTTTCCTAAGAAATAGTTAGTGGGATTTTGAAAGTGATGGATGTCTCTTTTTTTGGGATTGCAGTACGAAGGAAAGCTCAATATTGAACCTTATTATGACAGTCTTTCATCTGATTTTCTTCGGATTCATAATAATTGCTGGTTTCTACAAAGGGAGTACCAAGAACTTGGTTGAGCCAGGAGGGCTTGCTCCTTTTGGTGTCAAGGGTGTTCTTGATGGAGCAGCTATAGTTTACTTCAGCTATATTGGCTACGACTCGGTTTCAACCATGGCAGAAGAGATCCAAAACCCTGCAAAAAGCCTTCCAGTGGGCATTGTAGGTTCCGTTCTCGTCGTCACCGGGCTATATTGCCTCATGGCCTTAGCTTTATGCGTGTTGGTGCCTTTTAATATGGTAATGAATCCATCTTTTATATGTTTTAAGTCAAAATAGCAGACATCAGTGTCCTCTTTTAGTGCTTAATCCTAATAATTAGGTATCCTGAAAATCATTTGTAGATAGACAAAGATGCTTCATTTTCTGTCGCTTTCGAAAGGATCAGTTGGAAGTGGGCAAGCAATGTGGTTGGGGCCGGAGCAAGTTTGGGAATTGTTGCTTCTCTCCTGGTTGCAATGTTAGGCCAAGCTAGATACCTTTGTGTTATTGGAAGGGCCCGGCTTGTGCCTTCTTGGTTGGCCAAGGTGAATTCCTCCACAGGCACTCCTTTGAACGCTACACTCTTCTTGGGTAAGTAAGTCATTCCTGATAGTTTCTTCTGCTTCCCTTGTGAGTTCTAACAGTTCTAAAGAATATGCCCATTTAGAGTAGACTTGAAGTCCGATCCATGTTCTTATATCATAAATCTTCTACAGTATCTTTCCCCATTTTAAGTGGGCTCTATCTTAGGCACACCGCAGATTCATAGAGATCCATTAATAGTATACTGAATGTTTTGTGTTTTCATGATATTCTAGGTCTTTGCACAGCTTCAATCGCACTCTTTACCGAACTCAGCATAATTCTCGAAATAATCTCGATCAGCACACTCTTGGTGTTCTACTTGGTGGCAAATGCTCTTATCTATCGTCGATATGTTATCATTAGCCACAACCCTCCTTCACAAACCCTCTTGTTCCTCTTCCTCCTCTCTTCTAGTGCAATTGGCTTCTCTATGTCTTGGAAGCTTGAAGAGCAATGGTGGGCTTTACCAGTATTTGGTGGATTCATGATTGCCACCACAGCTTTCTTCCAATACATGGTACCTTCCATTTGCCAACCTAATGAAGAGTGGTCAGTGCCATTCATGCCATGGCCGGCTGTAACATCAATATTCCTTAATGTCTTCCTCATGACCACACTAAAGACTCTGTCCTTCCAAAGGTTTGGTATATGGGCATGTTTGATAACCTTGTTTTATGTTCTATATGGTGTTCACTCAACTTTTCGAGCTGAAGAGATGGAAGTGGATGTTGGTGAAAGTTCACGCCCATCCATCCAACAAAGCAAGCTAGATATTCTGGTGCTATGACAAAAAAACCTTGTTGTCGTTTCTTATTATCTCTCTCTCTCTCTCTCTCGCTTTTATCCTTTTAAGCACTATTTTCAGTTTCTTTTGGGATATATTTATATATGTGTATATCAAGGAAACCCTATCCTATTGAGCAAAAGGAAATTGTCATTTTTCATGAAAATATAGGAAAATGAATAGAAAAAGATCATGACCAGAGAAAGGAAAGAAAAAAGTAAATATACGACGGAGAGATTATGTATATGTCTGTCATGGTGATGCCACACCATCATATATTTGAAAGAACATGCTAGCTCTTTTATGGAGTGGAGAGTGGGGAAGATGATTGACATCATTTCGGGCCATAGGAAGAAATGATGAATACTATAATATTGAACCTCTCAGAAAAGTATAAATAACTAGCCAACATACTTCAATTTTGTCATGTACTAGCTAGTTCACCCAAAATTAGTGACAATATATAGTTAACATTTTTTTTTTAATAAGTCTCATATTTACGAAGGAGACATGATTACCTTATATAACGGGACCAAAATAGTAGCTAGAAAAAGGGAATGGCTAGGGTTTTTCTTAATGATTAAGCATATGTAATTTCTTTCTGGTAATTAACCAATATTTAAAACTTAAGCTGCTGAAGTGAAATTTTTATAAATTTTTCATTTTTAGTGTGGATGATCTATATTTTATGTACAAATGAATCGAGAAGAAATCCAATTTTAATATGCAAATATTGGTCTAAAAATACAACAAAAAAAAAAAAATTTAAAAGAAAAGAAAAAAGAGACATATGATCGAAAAATTTTAAAATACTCAAAGAATAATTATATACTGAACACATATAATAGTTACTTAATGGGTTTATTTTTTAAAATATATATATATATCAAAAGATTGGAGGTGTATGCTCCCTCTTAATCAGACCATTAGGGTCAAGCTATACATGAATAATTAATTTACTTATATCCTATTAGAGAAATTAATTTAATAGCAGAAGAGCATGTGGCCGAAAACAAAATTAAAAAAAAAAAAAAAAAAAAAAGTTATGGCATAATAATATTTGCCTTGTATTTTTTTCCCCATCCTCCTTTACTGCATAAAAAAATTGGTCTATCATCATCAAAGTTTTTTACATCTTAATACAATATCTCATCAAATAATAATAATAAATAAATAAATAAATAAGAAGAAGCAAGTTTGTTAGGTCATGCATGGTCACAGTAGAAGTATAACTGATTTTTAAAAAAAGAAAAAAAGAAAAAAAATGCAATTGTCATTACGCACTTTAACACCTTATAATGGAACCACTCATCCTTGGCTGTCGGCATTTGGCATTTGCATATTTGTAAATGTTATATGTTAACAAACAAATCACATCTTTTTTTCATTTATTATTTACTCAATGGAACAGTCTTAATTATGTATTATTTTGTACTTGCTTAGTACAAAATTTGGCACCTTAATTAGTCACTTCAAAATTAAAACAGTCTTTTTTGTTTGATCCAAAATAGTTTGTTAGGTTCCTACTACAGGGCGATGCTGCTGATGTGATCCTCTTTGAGAGGAGCTAGTTTTTGTGTATTTTATTTCCATTGCACCCAAATTAAAAATAAAAATAAAAATAAAATTGCTTAAAAAATGAGTACTACACAAACTTTTTAACTTTCTCTTTTGAGTACGGCAATTTTTTTCAAAATTATCAATCCAATACTTTCGTTAATTTTTTCGTTAACTAATGATGTATTTGTTATCTTCGTAATACCAAATCATAATTTTATTTTTTCATCAATCAAATACATGAACTTTAATTTTTTTGTTTGAGTACATTATTTTTTTCATAATCGTCAATAAAGTATTTTTATTGATTTTTTGGTTAACTTATATTCGAATGCAAAATTGTAATTTTATCTTTTTTTTGTTGAAGAGAATTTTCTTTCCAAATTATTTATCATTTTAAAATTTAACAAATAATTAAAAAAAATATTATTATTTAGCCTTTAAAATCTCAAACTAAACTCATTTAAGTTATTGTTAAAAAAAAAAACTTCACATTTACGAGTGGAAATTGAAGAAAAACACAAGTAAATCTTTTTGATGAAAAATCTTAGATTGGTATTTCTTTCAACTTTCATGCTCAAAATCTAATTGATTTTTTTTTAATAGCAATCGTAACTAAGTTTAGTTCGAGATATTATAACTAAAAAAATAATTCTTTTAATTATTTCTCAAGTTTTAAAATAGTAAATTAATTTAGAGAAAAATTCCTTACAACAAAAGAACAAAAAAATATAATTTGGTATTCAAACACGTAATCAATTAATACAAAAATCAATTAAAATCTTGATTAATAGTTTTGAAAAATCAGTGTACTCAAATAAAAAAATTAAAGTTTATGTACTTTATTGAAAAAAATAAAAAACTTTATGTACTCATAATGCAGTTATCCCGTCTGTATTTTTGGAGAGAAATATGCTTTACACCTATCCAATTAGCTACAAAAGAGAGAGGATGGGGGATTGGAAAGAAAGAAAACAATTATGGAAAGACACGCTAAGGTCCCCCACTTTTGTTTTTTTTTTCATTGCCCCCAAATCAGATTAAAAACAACAATTCTTTAGATTGATTAATTTATAAAATCTATGAAATTAAGCCGGGTGTCGACATTTTTGAAAATGCCAAAGCATTAACATTCTACCTTAAGAACGTGTTATGGTTGTGAAAACACCTTTAAATGATGCCATACATGTTTTTTTATTAGATTTATAGGTTATTAATAATGAAACATTATGATCATTTTTTGTATCGGTGGATTCTTCATAACCAATCTTTCACTTCATTGTCCTTTTTCTTAATTTTCTAAAATTTGCAACCGCTCATCATATTTATGATCTTGTTTTCTTCAACTCAATTTATTATTATTATCATCTATGAGATCATTAATTCACCTTTTCAAGTGCGTTCGCATGTCTGTCTCTCTTGTTATTATGCATTTCTCCATTACAACTTTCATGTGAACTCACAGACTAGAAAATAGCAATCTTCCATTGAACTAGGAACCACAATACTCGGTCTGGTGGGGATATATAATTTTTTTTGTACCAGTCTCCAACCCAAAAAAATCCCAAACCCTTCCCAGTTTGCCTGTTTGGTCTGATCGAGCCGGGTTGATGACGGGCCTTGCCCAACTGCCATTCCCCGTTAACACACCACCTTTCTTCCTTTATTACAGAAACAAGCACTCGCCTTTTAATTTCATATGCCTCATAAAACACACAAAAGAAAATTAAAGCAATTGTTAAACAAAAGAACTATGTGTGTGTGTGTGTCAAAATAAAGTTCTTTTAATTTTATTTGTAAAAATATGATTTTTTTTTTTTTTTTTTTTTTGCTAGCTTGACCAAATCACCTACATGTCATTTTTTTTACAACTAAATTTACTAATAATTTTCTAATTATTTTAAAAAATTAAAAAAAATTCACAATTTAATTATTGAATTTAGCAGTAAAAAGAAAGAAGAAGAAGAAGAAAAAAAAACTAACATGTGTACATGATTTGGCCTCCTAGAGGGGACTAAAAGTACAATATTTTGACAAATAAGATTTAAAGTATTTTAGTGTATCCAATAGGCCCTCAAAAGTTCCCAGCATAATGCACTCAATAGCAAAGATTGCTATTTATTCCATTCTAAATTTCTGGATTGGAAGTGTTAGTAAGGATTTGTCACCCACTGTCCCAAGCTGGCTCCTGGACCCAATTGGACCTGGAACCGGCAGCATTTTTGGCGCTCCTCTGAATCCGCATCGGAAATGACAAACAGCTCCATGTAATAGCAAGGTTTGTTACAGAAGAAACTACCTCTATACATGATTCAGGCTCTCTCAAGCCCTCTAAGCAGAAAGAAGTCAAAAAAAAAAAAAAAACACAATTTCAAGCTAAGATGCCTCAGAGGCTCAAGCAGATGTAGCAATGGAAAAACAATAATAATAATAAGCAACGTGGGAACTTCACTCAAATTATGCCAAGTCTTTGCTCATTAACATTTATGTTCATATATATTGTTCTTCATTAAACAAAAATTCAAAGCTAAGACATGAATTACAAAATGACTTCACCACAAAAGCTCTACCTTCACCAAGCCCAATCAGGCACAAGCAAAAGCAGTAATTGCTAATCGTGACTGGGTGTTTATTTCATCCCCCATTAGTTATTACCAAAGTGGAAAATTCAAAGAAATTATCCAAGAGAATGGTGGTTGAGTTTGCTAAGCCAACATAAATGCTAACCTAAACACAGTGATCCAAACAAACAGAGACATGAAGGCACACAAAATGTAATTATAAATTAGGAAAGCAAGTTTCAGTTCATATTTGAAATCTTGTCGCAATCCGAACAGTAAGAACAAGGAAATAGATGTACTAACCAGCTTGAAAAACCCACCAGCTACCCTATATTCCATTGAGATCAAAGGAATATATCTATCTTCCCGTATTAGAACTCTTGATATTTACAAATGAGAAAGAGATATCATTGCAAGCATTCCTTTTAGTAACCCAAAAAATGATTCAAACTGAAAAAAATAACAGGAATAAAAAACAATTATAACTTGCGCTTGATCCGACAATCAGGTAAAGCAAGCTTCGCCTTCTTTTACCACGCTACTTTTACCAATGCTTTCAAAATCCACTGCAGCAACCAGAGAATATCCATTTCTGCTTGAATTAGGTGACAGCACCTCCACTACTTTCTTCCGTTTCTTCTTTTCCAGCATTGCTTTCGCAAGTGTATCCACAATCTGTTGCTGCGACTCAAGTATCATCTGGTTATGCTTCAAACCCATTTCCATCCTCATTTTCTCAATCTCCATCACCATGTCCATCTTCATCATCTCCACCTTCACAAAACTTTCTGTAGCCTGCTCAATTGCTGACACCAACAAAGAAACTGGATCTGTCTCTCTTTTAACTCCGTCACCAATGCTATTCATCTCAACATTCACAGAACCATTCAAACCCCTAGAACGACCATCAGACCTCGAATTCCCATCAATATTGCCAAAACTTGTTGGTCTAAACCCCGGAGGTGAGGAACTCCAGCCATCAATTACTTTTTTGCCAAACCCATTTCTTTTCTCACTTCCGTAGTCAATCTCCACATGATCATCATCATCATCACAAAAATCAGAAGTGGGCTTCCTCTCATTCTTTGTACTATAATTCTTCGGGTTAGGCCTGTGAAACGCCAAATTCCTATCACCTAAAGACTTCAGCGGAAACCCTCCATAGCCATGGACTCCTTTAGCAACATCCCTATCATACGAGCCATGATGATCAGCAATCATTCCGTAATCCGCCAATCTAACTCCCTGGGGCATAAAGTTCGCATCACCTTGTGTTTTTTCCATTTTGTAACCAAATTCACCTTCATAATCACCATTAAAACCAACATCAGCCTTCATCTTCCCATTAACTCCAGTATAATCTTTGGGTCTAAATGCAACAGATACCAAATTCTCATCAGCAACAGATTTAACACCAAACCCACTTCCAGAATCACCATTAACATTATAACCCCCATCAACCCTGCTATATTTCCTAGCCCGAAAAGCAAAATCTGGATCCAAACCGAAATCCTCATCTGGATCCAAATCCCCTTTAATTTTCCCATTCTTTTGAGCAGTCAGCAAATACCTATCTCCTAACGTTTTCACGCGAAACCCATCTCCAATATCATTCCCTTTTTCGATTTCTTGCTCTACTTTAGACCCCAGAGACCCAATTTCCATTGAATCTAACAAAGGGAACAAATCCCAAGAAGAGAAAAACCGACCTGGGTACTTAAGGCACTTTTGTTTTTCAGCACGGTATCGTTTCCGCAGCTTCTCAATCTTGTGGCGACACTGGAGGGATGATTTAGGCTGGACGGCGGTGGCAACGACTTCCCAGTCGGCGGCGCGGAGGTTGCCGCGGTTGACGGAGTACCATTTGTCACGGTAGGCTTTGATTAGGGCAAGCGACTCTTCTCGGGTCCAGCATGGCGGCGGGACCCGCTTGGGAGTTACATCAGATGGTGTTGTTGCCATGGTTGTCATGGTGGGTGAAGGATAAGGAGAGGAGAGAAGAGGCATAGGTTAGTAAAGGAGGAGAAAATGGGAGATTAGTGGCGGTGGTGGCTTCTGTTCTTGTAATTATAGTCATTGCGAGGTTTGAGGAGGGAGTGGAGGGGTGTTTAAGAGGGGGAGTGGGGGCAACCGCCTGAAGTGGGATTGGGTGGGGGGGTTGGAGGAATGATGCTAGCGTGCGCGAGAGGTGGGGGGTTGGGGGTGAAGTGCGCACAATGAGACAGGCTAGTAGTAGCAGTAGTAACAAGGAAAATGGCACCAACTCCGCCACCACGCCTAATACGCACTTACGTTACTGACTCTTTAACTCACTCCCTCTACGGAGTGTTGGAGTTGGACTGATCGCTGCTTGTGTTTTGGTGGGGTGGGTGGGTGTGCTGCTGTGTTAACTTTTAAGTGGTCGAAAAGGGGAAGGTGATTGGCCCTTTTATTGTAGGGATTGGGACTGTTTGTTTGTTTGTTTGTTGGGCCTGAATTGAACATTGCCCAAAACATATTGTTAGTTAACGAACAAAAAGATGACATCGGGGGATTGAACCCGACGTGAATCGAACACGCAACCTTCTGATCTGGAGTCAGACGCGCTACCATTGCGCCACGGATCCCTGTGTTGTTATTTTTCTGCTTGATTTAATATGATTTTAATCGTCCCATTATTTTGTCATATTATGCAAGTGTACTTCGTCTTAAACCCCTGCATTTTTGTTTTTTAAGTTCTCTTGGCTCATGCATTTAAGTTCAAGCAATAAAAAACACTGTTTTCTTAAAGTAGTAGTTAGTTCATGAATTCCAGCTCCCCGCTCTCCATGCGGACGCATACGAGAAGGATGATGGATATAGAAGAGAATGAGTTTGCCCCCTTCACCTGCTATCCAGGACCAACAAACCCTTTGCATTTCTTTCTAATTTTTCACTCCATAAACAAGCTCCTTGTAAGTTGCATGCATCCCTCTTTAGACCAATTGATGACATGGCTGAATGCAAAGGAGGAACCCTGAAGATGCCTATGGTACATGCAATGTTGTACTTATTGCTACTGAAATTGTTAGCTTTGTTCTATCATTTCTTTTCAAAATACCTTGTGAAAGGCAACGAATATGTGGTCAAGGCACAGGTCGTGGAGACAATTGAGCACTTAACAGTTTGGTATCAGAGTCATCCATAGTTGAAGAACCAAACGACCAACAATTTGTTCGACTTGAGCACCACATTGAGAGTCTTAGCAAAAAAGTGATAGAGATGCCCTAGACATTTCAAGCGAGAGACACCAACGAGGAGGGTTCTAGTAAGAATTTTGCTCCCAAACTAGTTAAACTGGACTTTTCTCGATATGATGGATTAGAAGATCCTACACTCTGCATTAGCCGGGAGGAGCAGTTTGTTTATTTTCAAAACACCGCTGTAGAGGAACAAGTGCAACTGTCCACTTATCACCTAGGAGGGGATGCTCAATTATGGACTCAAAGACAAAAAAAAAAAAAATAGCATCCAAAGCTCACATGGTGTGAATTGAAGGATGAAATTGGTAGACCGCTTGGCTTGTCAGCCTATGAGAATTCATTTGCTGACATGTGCAGACTTATGTAAATGGGCACGGTTTGTTAATACCAAACCCAATTCGACGGGCTGCTAGTCAAAGCAGGAACTCTGATTGATTAAAAATAATAGGTGCGCATTAATTAAAACTTAGGTATAATTTTTTTTGAAATTTTCTGTAACTCTAATTTATATTTCTACTACATGTGTAGAAATATTAAATATCAAAATTAGATTAAAAAAAAATCATCTTCTTAGATTTCAATTTAATCATTTAAATTAAATATCTTAAATTGAGATGAATAGTATGTCTGTTAATTTTCTCAAAATCATTTTAAAATTTTGGATTTAATAAAAATAAAAATTATCCCTATGAAAATAATCTAGTTAACTTAACAAACTCAATTTCCATTATTACTTTCAAAAATCCATTTAATTATAACATAAGTAATTTAATTAGAAAGTATTCATTATTTACTAGACCATTAAATCTTGATTTAATACTAGTATTCTAATAAAAATTCCTTAGGCTAGAAAATACATTAATTAATTCAATTAAACACTTAATAAATTTATTTAGACCATTAATTAGAGTTTTCATCCTTCAAAAATATTGTTTTGGACTTATGAAACTTTAGTTCCAAATTAACATAAACCTACCTATTAAACTAACCCGTTAAATTCATTGACCATTACATTCTATGTAATGCTTTAACCTTTGTAATCATTTTTACCTTACCATTTTTTATGTCATACTCTTTACCATTAAGACTTTAGCTTCTAAACCAACGGCCCATTTAAATAATTCTTCCATTTAACCTCTAATGAACCCTTTTTATTTATGCTATTAATTCATGTAGACCAATCCAATTAATTAAATAGCCAATGAATTCCTTAAGCAACTAAACTAAGCAACTGAGGTCATAAATGTTAGTGTAGATGTACAATATATAATTTTGTTTGGATAAGTTTGACTTATTATAATATTATATTTTTTATTTTATTAATAAAAAAATCTTTCTATTAATTCTAATTATTTATATTTATTGAATACAGTTAGATAAAAAATTAGACAGGTTGCCTACAAATTTACCACTCTCTGGCAAAATTCGCCTAGCGTTTCATGTCTCGATGTTGAAGAAAAACGTGGGACATTCCTCCCAAGTTACTCCTTAGTCGCTGGATTTTTGCAGTGCTAGTGATGATTCTCCAAAAGTTCCGGAAGCCATACTTGATCCACGTGGGCAAGGAAGAAAGATGGAGTATTTCTTGGAAGACTGCTGAGTCAGATGCTACCTAGATTAATCGTGCCAATTTCTTGGAAGACTGCTCAATTTATGGCAACAATCTCATCTTGCGTTAACCAATTCCCTAGTTTATTTCCTATTGAATAGCTCTAGTTTGTTAGTTCCTAATTTTCTTTCTTTTCTCGTTGTAAATACTCTATTTAAAGAAAATGCTGAGTTGAATTAAGGATATAATTATTTTTCCTTCATTACAAATCCTATTGATTGCTTATGCAATCGTTAGCTTTGTTTTGTTATTTCTTTTCAAAATAGCTCGTGGAAGACAACCAACGCGTGCTCAAGACACAGGTCGTCGAGACAATAGGCACCTGACAGAGTTATACGCCATTGGGCCTTTTCTGTCAGCCCCAAACAAAGAGACTTTGATTTCAACTTGACGAGAATTAAGTGCTGGCCTATTATAAAGAGAGAGAGGGAGCAAACAAATCAATTTACGACTTATAAGATCCAGTTCCTCGTACATAACGCAAAATTTGTCTCAACAGAATGTCTTTCCATGCACAGATGCATAAAGACTGAAAACATAACACATTTAATATAATTGCACCTAATCATAACTCGACCTGGGCCTCTTATGCCACAGAACCAATGTCCTGTCCGCTAAGGATGCCTTCACCAGCTCGTAACCTTTTCTTCCTCAGCCTCTCTGATATGGCAAATGCCAGCTCAAGCGACTGAGACGCATTCAGTCTAGGGTCACAATGTGTGTGATAACGGGAATTCAAGTCATCAAAAGTGATGGTCTTTGACCCTCCAACACACTCCGTCACATTCTGCCCAGTCATTTCTAAGTGTACTCCTCCAGGATAGCTACCTTCTTGGTCATGAACATCAAAGAATGCCCTCAACTCAGCCTGAGAAGAGAAAATATACCTCCCGTTAAAACACCATCATGGGCAAGCTGTTGATGTTGAAGTTAAGAAGAATTGTGTTTCATGAGCTGATTTCTTACCCTGATTGAATCAAATGGCCTTGTCTTGAGACCACATGGAGCTTTAATCGTATTACCATGCATGGGATCACTGACCCATGTGACTATAAGCCCAGCCTGGCGCACAGCTCTTATCAAATGGGGAAGTTTAATCCGCATGTTGTCTGCTCCCATTCTGGTAATTATCGTCAGTCTTCCAGGTCTGTTATGAGGGTTGAGAATTTCACACAATTTCACAAGCTCCTTTGGATCCATCTTATCACTCACCTGTGTGAAAAGTCCAGGCATCAAGAAACCACAAAAGGGGACACAAAGAAAAGGAAGTTGCAGTGAGATTAAAATTAAAATTAAAATTGAGAGAGTTATCAATTGACAAGCTAAGTGTAACACACATACAAGCCAGCTCTATTGCCCTGATCCATAAACCTTTAATTCACAGAACTTGTTCTTGCTCCCGGCAATAGGTGCAGTAAAGTGGTTGCAGAGGAATCAAATACAGGCCTCAGTACTCAAAATTAAAACTGGAGAATATTCATAAAGAAAGCTGGAAAAAAAAAAGGTCTAAGAATAGGATTAAGTGTCCTCACTTCTTCCAGTCATGTATCCCAAATAGGTTGTGTAGTCAAGCGAAGTTTCACATTTTTAAGTAAAAGTAAAATTATGATTGAGGTCAAATTCCTGTCTTCTCAGCAATCAAAATAACCATTCTAATAAAAGAATAATTCCTGGTACTAGAGGTGCCACAAGCCTAATACATCCCTCAAGCAAAAATCATGTTTGTTTGGCCATTTACAACCAAAGAACATCATAGTAAGAAATTGTATGAATTGGTATTGCATAGAGTATGAGGTTGCTCTCGAATACAAGAGATTGAAATAGCCATTACCTTGATGCCAAGAGGATTGGATACACCACGTAGGAATTCAACATGTGCTCCATCCAACTGCCGGGTCCTCTCACCTACCCAAAGCATGTGAGCAGAACAATCATAATAGAGGCCAGTTGTTGAGTCCTCCCTGGTTAGAGCTTGCTCATATGGTAAATGAAGGCACTCATGAGAGGTCCAAAACTCTGTTGTGTTCATTACAGGATGATCAACAGTAAGGCCAGCGGCAGCCATGAAGCCAAGAGCTTCATCAACTCTCCGTGCAAGTTCCATGTACCTGTTATAAGCAAGTGCAATTCATTTACTAAATTACAATTACGTAATAATATGTTTATGGGCAATCTTATTATTATAGATTTGGTCGGCTAATAGAATGTGAAAATAGTAAATGAACAACAAAATTTACAAATCTTATAGCAGAAACGCTTACAAAATTGGAATCTACTGAGCTGCTGGAAATCCTTATTTTTGTCCATTGTTGCGGATAGTCACAAAATAATGAATGTTTAAAAATGAACGAAGTACAACCAACATCATGCAAGACTTAGTTCTGGTTGCACTATACCATTCTTAAAATCATATTACTCAAGTTGTAGACAAGCTATACAAGGTCCATTGTTTGAGGGAGTAAAGAAAAATCTAACTAACAGATAATAATTTATAAACCCAGGAAATATCTGAGGAGCACCTGTCTCCTTGCTCACTATGTTCTACAAAGTCAAGATTCCATTGCGACACTCTTTGCATAGCAGCATATCCACCAGTGGCAAAAGCTCTAAGGAGATTCAAGGTGCCGACAGATTGGAGATATGCTCTGATCAACCTTTGAGGATCAGGTGTCCTAGATTTCTCATCAAAAGCATCAGCATTAATATTATCTCCTCGATAACTCGGTAGCTTCACACCATCTTTTTCTTCAAATGGGTCAGACCTAGGTTTCGCAAATTGACCTGCCATCCTACCAACCTGTCATAAAGTCAAAAAAAAAAAAAAATTCCCAAATACGTTATTATCACAAATGCTCCATCTTCACCAAGCCAAGCAAATTTTCACCGAGATCAATAAACAAACTAAAGAAAATATAAATTTAACAACTAGCAAAAGGTCAATTCCTATAAATAAAGCGGCATAATTTTAAGCAATACAACAAAATCTAAATACCCATTTGATTAAAAAAAACATAACAAAAAAAAAAAACCAAATAAAATTATTTTAAGACAAGGGACCTTGATGACGGGCATTTGGGCACCAAAAGTGAGAACAACACCCATCTGGAGCAAAACCCGAAAAGTATCTCTAATATTATTGGCATTGAACTCCTTAAAGCTCTCAGCACAATCTCCACCCTGCAATAAAAAAGCTCCACCTACAGCAGCACTCGCAATTCTCTCCTCAAGCTTCCTGGCCTCACCCGCGAACACAATTGGCGGGAAACTGGTCAGGGTCTGGAGCACCGAGTCCAATTCAACCTGGTCCGGGTAATCCGGGAGCTGGCGGGCTGGTTTAGATTTCCAGCTGTCTAAGGCCCAGTTCGGAGAAACTGTGGGTTTTGAAGTTGAAGTTGAGAGGGAGGCAAAAACTGTGGTGGTTTTGGGTTTAAGCTTAGGGCTTTTGGTTGGAGTGGTGAAGATTTGGGGTTTGAGAAGGGAGATAGAAGGTTTTGGAGTGCTGAGATTGATAGAGAGTGCCATTTTTTGACTGATGATGAGTGATGAGTCGGCCGCGCCTGAGACTGCGATAAAGAAGAAATTAGCAGATTTGTAAAAACGGAGTAATGTTTAGAGAGATAGAGACAAAACTTTTTTAGCCGTGAGTTTGCCACGTCAGCTGGTTTGTTGTTGTAAGATATTTTTGGTATTTAATAAATCAGATTAGGCTGGTTCATCAAGAATTCATCACTTCTAAAATCCTTCTGTAACTGGTTGGTGCCTGGTGGGATGGATACATACATTGAACCCAAACTGTTTGGATCGAGTTGGATTTACGAGTTTCGTGTGAACTGAAACTCACATGTTTTGAATTAAAATTGATCTTCTTTTTTTATATATATATATATAACTCTGTCCAAACAGTGCCTCGTTAGCTTATAGCTATCAAAATCGGAGAAGGGAAGGGATATCCCCATCCCATGGGCTTTCAAGATGAAAGTCTTCCAATAATCTTACTCACCTTCGCACACACAGGATGATAGGTAATTAAAGTAACAAAAAACCACACAAATTAAACTGAAAAAAATAATAATAATGTAATAAATCAATAAGCAAATACAACATGGAAAAGCTATGAGTATGCAATTGCCACCCCTAATTATATACCCCGGTTATACACTCAAGACAGGATTATTTATCCAGAATAAATTAGGTACATTTTCTGTACCAATCAAGTAATGTGAAAAGGGATTACAACAATGTTGGGTACTTAGCGTGAAGGAAGTCTCGGAGAGTCCTAGCAGCCTTCTGACCACCCATTAGTTCAGCTAGCTTCTCTACTGGTAGAAGGGCAAGTTCTGCTAAGCTTTTACATCCATCCATTATTGCCCTGTAGTTCGAATCTGTGACCCCCGGGAGTCGTCTCAGAAACTCCACAGCAGATGTATTGTAGTTCTCCGCTCTGTAATGGATAAGGGTAATAAATCATCATTAAAATCCAGGGGAAGAAACAGCACTAAGACATTTTGTCCTATTTAAGTTTGCACACCAAGTCAACCGAAAGAAACTGTAGAGTTAGTGGATCCAACATCATGTGCAAAATTCACAGATTAAGTCCCTTCTCAATTACAATATTGCAAGGAGTACATCCTTGGAATACACCAGATTTATCTGGCTAAGATTTACTTTTTAACTCCTCTCCCGCACCAACCATCATAAATCATAATGCAACGTTACAAACTTAAATATAAAAGTGACAAAAATAGGCATTATGCATCTTACCTAACATCATTTTCCACAATACCATCCTCTGAAGGGACTCCAACTCTAATTGCCTTCACCTCATCGGGTTCATCCTGATTTGCCTTCAGCAAAGCAAATATTTCAGCAGTAGCATGTAAACTGCGTGACCAGATGATTCTCAGGCGGGGAAAATGTAGAGCAAGCAATGACAGCTTGGATATAATACTATTTGGTGTGACATCATCACCAATATCACTTGCAGACTGCAAAATTATACCCAATTAATCAAACTGGGACAGCAGCCTGATTAAGAACCAACTCTTTCTTAGGTTGAAGTTGTTTTACCTGAAATGAAAAGCTTTTGTCTTGTGAAAACTCAATCAAAAGAACAGGTATTCGATAATAGCGCACCATTGTTTCCACTTGGTTGAAAAGGCGGCCTGATGTAAAGCTCATAAAAAGATCTTGGATACTCTTTCTCTCTACACATATTAATGGTGAGAGAATATAATCCCCAACTTCCAAGGTAACTGGTATTATGCGCATTCCTTTCTGGTGGAGAACATTTGGGAGGCTACTCATGAACTCCCTCATGTCTACAATGACCTGAAAATGAAGCAATTCCTGAATAATATACTTCATAGCAGAGAAGAGAAACACAGTTCATCCTGAAAGCTCAACGCACTATCATATACCTGCATTTCTTTCTCAATTTCCTTTCTTCCACCAGCCTTTCTGGTTGAGTTTTGGGAACTTGAAGCTAGTGGATCTATGGAACCATTCAATCCTAGGCATTGTTCATTCTGATCCAAAACCAAATGAAATCCACAAGTGCCAAATTAGACATTAATGTTGATCAGATATCAGAAATACTTATCCCTAAGTTCGTTATCTTTTTGAAGGAAATGAATGGATTTGTTGATTGCAAATGTTTAAAAATACAATTTATAAGGACCATACCTGATCAACTGGAATCATCATCAGTGATTTTTGCCTGATCAAAGATTCAAATGCTCCATTCTCCCTGCGAATACTTGCCTCAAACTTTTGGACCTCTGTAGAATCCTCATAGAAAAGAAAATACACTTTCAACTTTTTTGAGGGATTTTCAGCTTTGTAGACTTCAATTTCTCGGACAAACATCATGTCTGGATGATAAACAATAATCACAGAGGGCTTTAATATGTCGAGTATAGGCTGATCACTTTCTAGAGCATAAAAGTGCATCGGTGGTATTGGCTTTGCATTTTTGGATCCTGTAAGGTCTGGCTCTTGAGCATGTCTCTGACAAACCCTTTTGACAACAGATGCATGCTCGAAATAGGCTTCACAATAACCATCTATGGCAGCTTGATTATTTTCAACTGTTTGGCTTTCATTTTTTGAACCAGATATTTCTGGCAAATCTTTTATCACCACATCAATATTGCTGTCATTATCTTTGCTTCCAGAATTCTTACCATTTGCTTGGCCTCTTTTCTTTCGTCCTTTTCCCTCTACTCTTGCACCTTTACTGCGGCTTCCAGCAAGAGGCTGTGGTTCATCTTCAGCAACCTGCTCCCTTTTATTCGGATTTCTTATTTTTGATGCTGCAGCCAAGAAAGCATCATGTTCCTGCTTGTTTGTGCTGCTAGCTTCTGCACTTTGCACAGTTTTTACAGGAACAACTCCGTCAAGAATTCCAAATCCTTTCGGCTGCTTTGGCTTTAGTTTTGCTTTCTTTTTTTCAGGTGTTCGCAAGCCACGTAACTCTACTTTGCTCAACAAGTACTTCTTCCATTCTTCTTGCAACACCTTCATAAGAAAATATGCTACGAACCGGTCACATTTAACTAGTACTCATGCAGACAATACCAAGGAGAAAACGTTACTAAATGCATACATAACCAAATTGAAATAGATAAATTTCCTATAGCTTTCAAAGAGCCAATGAACGTGGCTGAGGGAAGATAACCCTCCACTTTACATCATATCCTTGGCACCACAGATGAAAACTACATATAACTCTACCAAAAAAAAATAATAATAAATAATAATAATAATAAACTGTACTTCTAAACTGGAAAGGAACATGCGGTGAATATCTACAAGAAGGCAAGAGCTTCACTAAGGCAAAAACATGTAGCATTCACATGGGGCACTAGCCCATGCTCTAGCCTGGAACAAAGTACATGTATGAGCTCTGGCCACTACTCAGTGAAGCACTTAATGTGATCAAAATAAAAGATAGAATAAGAACACAAACACAAACAAATATTAAACAACCTTTTGAGGGCCGTGCCTGATGCAATCTTCAAGCTGCATGCAAGAGCGTTCATCTTTGCATGCCACCAGAACAATGCCATTATCAACACCTTCACTTTCAACCTCATCTTCTTCTCCAGATAAGGCCTGCTTTTGTCTTTCTTTCTCTATCTCTTCGAGAATCTCCTGTAGCAAAAGTGTCACGTCTAAACTTAGGACTGGTAACTCCAAAATTAACGAATACGCTTAAAACAACAATAGGCACTGGTAGAACGAGAGAAAATAATGACGGAAAAAACAAAGCCAAATCACAGATAATTTTCTATCCAACATGCATCAATTACTTAAAAGTGAAAAGTTACAGCCAATTTTTTAATAAATTTACTCAACTGTGCTTAAAGCACAACCATAATACAGCATAGAAAATGTAACTCACTCACTCACACATAACACCTTCCACTTTGGTGCCTCCTCCAGAACTTCCTCCAACACAACTCCACTACTAGTAGTCAAGGGTGAAGTACCATCAGCTGCTAAGAAATTCTCAAAATGAGCAGTTATCGAAAGTAATGCTATAGAAGCACTTGGTAAATAAATTTAAAAAAAAAAAAAAAAAGACCTCACCTTCTCCCTCATTACTGTGGTCACTCTTTGATTTTCTCTTTCTGCCTGCTTTGGTCTTACTCTGCTCATTTAATTTCACATCTTTTGATCTTGCCAAACGGAACACACGCTTCTTTGCATAATCAAATATCTTATAGCTGGACTCGGCAAATATCCAAACGGACCAAAAACTCTCTGACACCCTAAGTGTATCCAAGTACTTCAAAAAGCTTACTGCATCGTACCTACACAATAACTCATCAAAATCAGTCTACAATTCTAAACGGAACCCAAATTGCATCACAAAAAACGTACAAAAAACACACAAAAAAAACAAAAACAAAAAAACAAAATATCGGTTCAAAATTTGAGAATTTTGACCTATGTGTAAAATTAGTCTAAGAACTACATTAACAAATTGAATCTTCTTCACCTAACAAAATTTCTAGATTAAACTAAACCCTAAAAACCACAAACAACCCTACACTGAAATAAATATAAAAATTTTACACAACAATCAAATAAGACATTATGGTACAGGACAAAAAAAAAGTTACCTAACAAGATAATCCAGCAATTTCCTCAAAGTCTTCAAATCTGAAACTAGCTGTTTGGTCTTCTTCCCCAAAGTATGCCAAATAGGATCCAACTGTCTCCTGACAATCTCATCAAAAGACTTAAACAGCCCATTCTCAACAGTCAAATCTTCTACATCAACCTTATTACTCTTCCTCATTTCTTTCAAACAAGCATCCATAACTTCCACAATTGCCTTTTGTATCCCCACCATGTACTTACTCATCGGAACCCTCACATCCACAACCTCCGGCGGATCCTTCTCCAATTCCTGCGACACATAAACCTGAAACCTCGGCCAAAGATGCAATTTTTTTATGAACAAGCATTTCATTAACCTCTCCGTCTTACAAAAACCAGACACCATTGCCTGTGGCCTATCACTGAAAGCACGAATATAAAACACATTACTGTTATTCTGATTTCTACTCTGAGTAGAGTATTTTAAAATTCTAACTATGAATGCTTCAGTGGAGGTTTCGGAGAGGGAGTGAGCGTTGAGGAGGATTAATCCGGCGAGAGATGAGGTAGGGATTTTATTGGAGAGGAGGTCGACGATGAGGATACGGGGAGTGATGAAGCAGATTTGACCAGAGGAGTAGAGAGATAGGCGGTGGTGAGAGGGGAGATCGGAGGTGATTTCCGTGATTTCGATGGGGTTTTGGCTTATGTGGTGGTGGTGGAAAATTAGGGATTTGAGGGTGGGAGGAGGTGAGAGGATTAAAAGAGTGCCTTGAGAAGGTGAGTGGAGGGAAAGGAGGGAGGAGAGGAGTTTTGCAAGGGATAGGCCGGAGAAAAGGATTACAAGGCCGCCGGTGGGGTCCTCTAAGAGGTCTGTTATTATATGTTCGTGGAATTGGACCATCTTGGCAGTGGTGGCGGGAAGGGGCGGCTGAGTGGCGATGAAACGGGGCTTTATAGTGCGGTGGGTTGGAATGGGAGGGGAGTTTGAAGTGTTTTCCTTCCAAACGGCTGCGTTTTGAGTCTCTGACTTGTGTTTTTTATTTTCAAAATTATAGAAAATTGACTATGGTTTTCTTCACAGTAAATTATAAATTAATCATAAAACGAATTAATTAGTCTTTATTTTATCAAAAACTAATTATTTAATCTATTAAGCAATATTGATTATACTTAATTTAATATTATTTTATTTCAAAAAAATTCATATTTTCTTATCAATTCTTTTATATATTTTCTTTTTTCCTAAAAAAATAAAATAAATTGAAAAAATAAAAAATACGAGAAAATCTAAATTATAAAAACTAAAAAAGTTCATTTCTTGAAACTAAAAGAACTAATTTTTAACAAATATACGGTATATGTACCCCAATTTAGTGGTAAACATGCAAAAGACAAGAGGTCTATATAATATAATATCTCATATTCAAATCCCACTTCCCACTTGTATATTGAAAAAGAAAATTATTGCCTCTTATTATATCTAAATTTATTTTAGGCCTATGTTCATTAAATTAGACAGAAAATATGGGATAAAATCCATTCTTTTTAAACCTTATTAATTGGATCCATTTAAAAGCTCATTGGGTTTACTCTGTTCAGTAAAAGATTGACTCAATACACCCAAAAAAGGTGCTTGGTATAAGCCCATCCAGATATAACTTGTTGAAACTTTTTTCACAAATTAAGAAGAAACAGACGGAAGGACTCGCGACAAGGCAAGAATTGAGCAAAGATTTGAGAAAAAAAGTCTTATTTTAATGGCAAAGCGACTAACAATAAATAGTGTATAAATAGTTAAGGAAAAATAGAATTCTAATAACAATAAAAGAATAATCCACACACTTAAAAGAAATGTGAAGGGCTGCAGCATAAAGATAGCAAAGCAGGAAAATGAACGCCATGCACTACAACACAGTAAAAGAAGAAGAAAAAACAAAATATCTATAAAACATCAACTATAGCAGAAGAAAAAAACACACAATAATATAACACTCAAGTAAACTCTTGCAAATTGCAAAGAGCTGAACGATTACTTTGACAAATTTATTGAAACTTGTTAGGCAGTGGTTAATAGACACTAATTTATTGGTGATAATTTATAGACAATAATCAATAGACGATAATCTGTAAATAGTAATTCAGTAAACGATAGTCTGTAAACTGATAGTTGATCCTTAATCTTCTATTGGTGTTCGCAACAATCATCATTTCCAATTATCGTTTATTTCTTTTATTATAAAATTTTCTTAGTTGAAACCAGCACAAAAGAACCCACAACACCTCCAAAAGCACTTCTTCATTTCTCTGGAAAGAACCAATATCAGCGACTCAAGAAATTGTTGAAGAAAATACAGAAACGAAGACCAAAAATTGAGTTCATAATACACAGCTGAGACAGCAAACATGTTATATGTGAAATGTAAACAAGCCGGAAAGAAACATTTTTAATCTGATTTCAAATTTGTGTTAAGATTTCCCTGATTCGTCTTGAGTCTTCGGACCAACAAGGGAACTGGCTTTTCTAAGACAGACACGTTAATATTGTTCCAAACATCCGATTTCGTGGGAAGTTGTGCAATTTTCTCAGCAATTTCCATGTCTTCTGGAAGAACAGAACCGAAGACTGTGTATGCTTTCTTCCACTCTGGGTGATTGGCTAGGCTGATGAAGAATTCTGGACCAGAGCCAACCCAGGCCACTGAACCCCTTCTTATATACGGACACTCTTCTGTTGGCATTTCCTTGAATGCTGTTCCTTGAGCTTCTAGTGTCCCCTGAATGATTGCAAAAGGAGGGCCCAAAGGAGCCTGGGAATACAAAAAGGGAGTTTAGAGCTAACAAAAGATCGAAATGATGAAACCCCCAGACATACATAGCTGAAATCTTTTTACATAACATCCAATAGAAATATGACACTTCCTAGGTGAAACTACCACACACCAGAACCGCAGCGTGCAACATGATGCTCTAAACTACTACCAAAATTTTGCATTTTCACATTTCTTATTACATGACAAATAAGACAACTCACATGACAATTAATAAAGCTACCTTTTTTATGTGGTTTCCTTCTGAATCCCATGATTGACCTCGGCCCTCTGCACGATAAAATTGGCAACCAGCACAATGACGTAGTGTGAGCAACTCAAGAATGTAGGCTACAGAATGGGGAGCACAGTCTGGGAAGAGCTGCACCAAGCAATTTTTTGTCCAACTATTAAATGTTAAAGAGAGATGCATAAAATCAAAGAATCTGAGGAAATAGATTATCACAATTAGCTTGTCAAAGGCACTTGGAACACAAACCTGCTGAAAGCATGATCACTTACTTTAATATGAAGAGTGCCATATTCTGTTTCCAGGCCAACAATGCCCTAAAAGGAGCAAATGTAAACAAGAATATTAATAGAGGGGATCCTAATATTTAAGGAGGAACTGCAGCAGTGAAAATTATTTAGAACAGGGAGGAAAGTAGCAGCATCAAATTGCTTAGCGCACCAAATGATAACCACCATAGGGATCTTTTACAATAAACATGCAGGAAGACGCATCACAGGTTCATATGAAATGCAGCAGCAACAGAACAAAGAAACTTCAGCAATCAAAGAGCAAAAATACAGACTTAAAGAAACTTAAATATCTTTTGTTTCATTTCTTCTGGAACAATCACAAACACTTTTTTGATTATGGATCTACCACCAGAAATTCAATGCGCAATCTTAGCATTCAATGTGCATTCCTGAATAATCTCGTGCTTTGTATATGAAGTTGCTATTTGCATTCCAGGTGCAAAAGAACAAGCATCTATCACAAAAATAAAAAATGAAAAACCTTCGACTCAGATTACCTAGGGCTACAGCAGATAGCAATTTACAAAATTCTGAAAAGATTTATCAAGGGTCTAACACAGCTTTCGGACTACAAGAGACTCCAGTTGCCAAAATTCAGTGTAAAATATCCCCAACAGCAGTGCATCTGAACAATATCATAGAGCTTGATAATAGGAGCAACTAATTTTTCACATAAAGATAATGCAAACGGAAATGCCAAGTTATCTTTCAATTGTTTAACAGAGTGTTGGTAAAAAACAATGGGTGTCCAATAAGAAGATTCCACCATGATCTTTATGCTTTTAACTCAAAAAAACTGAAGACGGCAAGATAATCTAACTGAGGAGTGCAAAATGTGCGTCGACTATATATTCTGTCTCCTAAATTGGAACTAAATTTCACCAAATTGAAATACCTCTCCTTTTCCAAAGATAAACCCAGAAGTCCAAATAACAGGGTCACCTGCTTCCTGTCGATCAGGAGCAAATACATCCTTTTGTTTCTTCAGCCAACACTGGAGAAATGAAGCAAGTCAAAGTAATGAGATTCTTGTCATTACAATTGAAATTTTAGCATGTTATTTAAATAACTTCACGCTCAATGTTTAAAATCCAACTAAAGCAGAAATCCCATTAAAACTTAAAATCACACTCAAGGTAAAAATTAAGCCTATTTATAATGAGCAAGTTAGATAATTTCTGAATTAGCAGCTCCAAGATCTCTCAACCTCGTATTGAATTAAGTCAATGATGAATCCAAGGTTTGAAAGGGCATGATCACAGCATCATTGAAGTTGCCTATTTTCAGAATCAAATTCCATTGAAGAAATAAAATTCATTCTTGTCAATCCAAATAATCCATCATTTCAACCATATAATTCAACAATCAAAATTCCAGTAGAAACCTTAAGAGTCAAAACAAGATAAAGGCATCAAAATTTCAATCTGACCTCACCAAATTTAGACCCACAAGCCTTTTTATTGCCACAAAACACCCAAGTATCGCATAAACAAGGCCCATCAATGCCGGTGCACATAGCCTTACAAGCCTGACAACACTCCTTAGAAGAATTGAACTTAAAATCTGACCCCCACTTCACTGCAGCTCCCCAAAGCTCCAACTTCTCAATCCCCCTACAACACCCACCATCATTACTCTCCTCTGCCAATGCCAAAGGCTCAAAGATTGAACCTTCAGAATTTGTATTAGCATTGAGAACTACGGAGAGGACAGTGTAGACTAAAGCACAAGAAATAAAACCCACCAAAAGGAAGGTGAGAGAGATGAAACGGGATGGTTCAGAGTCGCTTTGGCGGCGACCCATTTGAGATATCGGTTTGGATGGTAAAACCCAGATGGGGATTGGTATGGTATGGATTGAGGAGAGAAGAACAAGAGAGAGTTTTGCTGTGGTTTTTTTGTTTTGGTGTTGACTGAGGAGATAGAGAAGGATCGGAGAAAGAGTGGTAGCAGTAAGCAGTAGTCATCGTGGCGATAAAGAGAGATTAAAAAAGAAGAGAGAGACAGAGAGGAGGGTCCAAGGTCAATCAATGGCAAAATTGGCAATGTGTTATGCGTGGAATCTTTGAAGCAAGTTGGTTACTTACAGATCTTGTCCGCGTCTTTCGCAGGGATGGAAAATACGTCAGGAAACGACTTCGTTTTGAATGCTTGGTTGACTAAACGCGGTCGTTTAGTTGTCCTTCAATTTGGTTTGCTTTGATTACTTTAATGTAGTTTGGTTCATGTTTGCTTCATTATTGATGTCTGTCTATTAGCAGATGGGTTGTGGAACTGGTCCCCGTCCCAGTCCAGTCCAGCCATCTCTTTGACATTGACAGAATTACAAAACAAAGTTAATCTGATTTTTTTATTGGATTTGAATCTAATAGAATGTCCAAATAAAGTCTTGCCTTCTTTCCTTTTTACGATGCCATAAAAACTAGGTACAGCCTTTGCCCGTTCATCACCATATGGTGAAATAATGGAACGACTAGGCTCACCACACCGACTTCATTGCTATAGTTCCAAGCAAAATTGCAAAAGAATTTATCCAAAAATTATGCAACTGGCTTGATTATTTCATGTAAAAAAGAGTGAAAATGAATCCGCATTGTAGCAGAAGATGCTGTCGAGAACTTACTTTGGATGATGGAGGTTCTGCTGGTTATTTTCATCTTATCATCCAGGGTTTGAATGAATTAAAACGCGTTGAAGATGTGAGTGCAACAAAAACCATTACTTCTTGATCACGAAAAATAGCTTCCCACACGACATCTTCTAGGGAGAGAGAGAGAGAAAGGAATAGTTATATCAGTTGAATTGCATCTTCATTGACACAAAAACCATTACTTCCACCGAATCGTACTCATATGACTTACATGGATGCAACCTAGCTAGGCAGACGGTGTGTTAAGAGCGATGACTGGGGACCTTCCTATCCTACCAGAAATCATTAAGAAGCATAATGTCGCCATTTGAAGTTGACAAAGCCTGCAGTTGCAGCTTTGGTGTAATTACAGAGCAAATGAATCCACAACTCTTTAGGTTATTCTCTTCGAATAATGCTGTATATCTTTGCTCTAAACCCATTATTGAAATAAAATTCAGCATTGTTTCATTCTTTTTACTAAGAACCCTTTGTTTTGTTATTTGTGCAGGTGATTTTATACTGTTTGAATTTTTTCTCATCATCATCACAGTATCAAACGCTCATTAAATATATCTGTCTTTAGCTTTTGAGTTTTAATTTGAATGTATATCCAATCAATTTATTCGTTGTATAAAAACAAAAAGTATAATCAATTTATCCGAATATTCAATGCAATAAAGGTTTCATATATATATATATATATATATATATATATATTGTTCAACAATTCAAATTATTGCTTGCACATTAGCCACTATATTATAATGCTCCATATATATCATCATAAATTTCTTTATTCCCTTTGAGATTTGGTCCAAACTGTATGTGATTCGTTCTATGTATCGATTGTCATATGTTATGTTTCCCCCACGCACGTGATTCTAGATGGAAGAACTTTGTTTCTCTAATATCGCTTTGTATGTGTGTATTCACAAGCTGCCTGGACTTACCATCCTCGTGGCGATTGACATGTTTAAAATCCAATTCAAAAAAAAAAAACAAAACAAAAACTATATAAAAAAAAAGCTAGCATAAATTAAACTTAAGTGTTTGAGATAACAGTAGGATTATAATTTATAAGTGCCAACAAGTTCAATCTTTGGCAACCAAAGAGAGATGGATTTGGACGATGAATTATTCAAATTAATTATACGTGTTGGACATGTTTAAGGATTATTTTATTTAAAAACTTAAATTATTAGATAATATTTAAAATATATTTTATATTATTTTTTAATAATAATTCTTCTGCAGAGAATAACAAAGGACCGGATTGAACTAGCTTTCAAGGAGTAGTGATAACTGAAAAGAGAGGGAAAGAGAAAGTGTCAGTAAGCGCACAAATGGAAAAACAAATAGAAAGAATAAAAGGCGCAAAATGTGTGTGTGAGAGAGAGAGAGAGAGGAGAGCTTACTCCCACGTACACTTGGAAGTGACGAGGAACCCTTATACCACAACCTTCAATCAGCCGAATAGCAGGATTGAGGTCAATAAAAGCTGCCAGCTTAGGTGTAATAACAGGGCAGACACAACCCTTACACAGTTACACTCACACAACATTCTGTTTCTTTTCTGTAATTTACATAGACTTGATTGATAATTTGAATGGAAAAATATTTTTCGAATTTTGCTTTCTTCTATCTTCCTTCTTCATAAACCTTTCTCCTCTAGGGAATTGATAATCCCTCTCTTATGGGGAATTCTTTCTTCTCTACTCTATTTTTTATCCTCTCTGTGTTTAATCCCTCTTTTATAAAGAATTAAAATTCTTTATATCTTTCCTGCTACCTCGTCCTATATCCCCCACCCCACCGTAGAAATCCCTCTTGCTTATTCAAGGCTACTCATTCGTCAATGCTTGAGGAAACTTTTGCTGAATCTCAAATTCAATGTGGGATTTGATTGACGGAGATGAACTTCACATGATGACTATTGATTTCTTTATCATACGGTGCACGCACAGTTGATAGCATGTTTGCTAAAGAGAAATTTATACAATAGACTGGAAGCTTCCTTGTTCGTGGAAATTCTACTTTACTCGGACGAGCACATTTTGGCATGTAAGTAGGATGATAATTTGCCATGCTCTGTCAAAACCCCACCCTTTTCAATCTCATTTGAGACGGGGATGATATTCAAAATTTCGTTTTGAACAGAACATGTGATAAGAATAGAGCGAATTTATGGGATAAGAATAAAGCGAATTTTTTTAAGACGGGATGCAAACAGGGATGACTATCCTCACTCCCGTCTCGTCTTTTAACAATTTGATAAAACTTCGTCCTATTTGAAATGAGAATAGTATTCAAATTTCGTTACAAACGAGACATAGGATGGGACCAGGTAAAATTTTTTGAGGCTATTCCCGCCCCCATTGCCCTCCCTGCATGTAAGGCGAGCATGGACTTTTGGTGATTTTGTTTTGGTCTGTTGGTTTCCTTAGCTTTAGGTGGAGGCACGTCAATTTTTGACAATATGTACTGTACATTGCGTACTGTTTGTCATTTGCTGGCTAATAATTGACTTCCTGAACTATCCTTTTTGACGGTTATTTCAGCCTTTTCGATCACTAGGGAGGATTGAAATCGGCTCACAATGGAGCAAAAGCTAATTGGCAAACCAGAGAGCTTATTTTGATGCTTCCATCCCCTGCAAACATCACCGTGTAGCACCCCATATCCATGGGCCTTGGCAACATGAAGCGTCAACTATTTCATCTTTCCGGAACCAGTGCGTGCTTTGTAAAACCATAAGCAGCAGTAGATCATCTTAAATTGATACAAGCAGGGTAAACATTGTAAGAAAGAAAATATGCATGTTATGTGCTTAAAGGCAACTTCTTCAAATCCTTTACTGGGAAATCTATAGGCGGAGCTTAATACAATCGCAACTTGGGCCGCTTCACCTCACAATGCACTCAGCATGTTTTAGCACCACAGCAAGTAACACTGTTCAGGATACTGTACAATGTAGGTGACAGGACATGCATATGGAAATTCATGTCACCAAAATCGCGAGAATGCGGACACACAAATTCTCTGTACACAATTTGTAGGTGATCCCTAGAAAGAGGACATAATGTCGCCACTGACGTCAACCTCAGAACCCAGATCAACATCAAAGTCATCAGATGTTCCAGCAACAGCATGCCCAGCAAATTTCCCACCTTCACCAGGCATCTTTGCCTCCTGTATGATACTCATAATCTCCTCGACGCTTTGAGCTGGTTGGTCACGTTCTGAATCAGCGAAGTTTGTTTTCTCAATTTCAATGAGCTCTTTAGGCAAATTCTTTAGAAACCAAGGATGCTGCTTGATCTCTGGAATGGTAATCCTCTTTACGGAGGATGGGACGACATCAGTATATGTGAAGGGTGCATTGCACACCACTGAAATAAACTATATTTTATTCATGAACATTTGAAAGCATTCATGAAAATGAAAAATGTCTACTGCTCTTGATGAGAAGACATTAGAATTTAGCTTCTTGTTTCCTAGGAGAACCTGGTTGTTGTATTTGGAGTTTCTAAATTGGAGTTGTCCATTAATTCTGGTATGGGTAGGTAGCTTTTAGGGATTCCTCATTTTGACACAAATGTCTATCCTCCCAATAAACCAATATATATAACTATGTATGTGCATGGATGCATATTTTATTTGTTAAGAAGTGTCAGGCCCTAGCCCATTATAATTCAAAATACATAGCCTAAGGCAGAATACAAGAGCTTATGAAAATGCAAATTAAATATCAAATTTCTTAAATTATGCTTCAAATTCCATGTAGGGTCACACTGAACTGGACCCTTCAAGGCTTGCTGAATTAGCATAATCTTATTTTTCGTCTACTTAGTTTAAGTTGGATTATTTTACTTAGAACCAGGGAAAATTTGATAATTCTCAGTTTATGGCTGGATTTCTGTTGTACCTTAGAACTGAGTCCATTTACTTTTTGTTGGTTTAAATTTAGGAATAAATGTTCATACGAATCCTTCCAGAGTTAAGAAACCATATGCATGCAAACTCTTTCAATAAAGAATAAAACTTAATTTCATATAGATTTACTTTATAGAAGCTTCTAAATCACTTTGAGGTTGAAGGATAAAACCATAAGACCAAAGAGCAAGATTTTTAAATGCTTTGTAAAATTGATGAATCATTAAAAAAGATGAGAGGTCAAATAGGAGATCATGTCGACAATGTTAGAAGAAAGATAACCAAAAAAATAAAAATAAAATAAAAAACATGAAAAGGGCATACCTTTGCAGGATTGGCAACAAAAATATGTGAAAGGAGGTGCTTGCAATCTGCAGATACACGTACATAGTCCGGTATGGAGTACTGAACACTCATTATTCTCTGTCGAGAGTTAACAATGGGATTAAATTCGGTAACGTAATTGTGAATATAGGTCGAGAGAGAGAGAAAAAAATCTCTTCGTCTCACTCTACTAAAAGCGTTTAGAAGAAACTCACACCAATGGTATTGCGGAAATTTCTAGGATCTTCAGGATCCTCAAAAGGGTATGCTCCAACCAACATCACATATAGCGTTACACCACATGACCAAACATCTGAAATCTGAAAAAAAAAAAAAAAAAACAAAAACAAAAAAACTATAATTTAACAAGAAAACAGTAAGAGGACTCCCTTTTTCTGCTTTCGAAACATGATGTTAGTTTTATTGCCAACTTAAAAAGTGGGCAGGTAACTGAACACATTACAGGCTCAGTTATATGACACAAATCAAGACTGTAAAAGCCCCTACCAATGAACCTAGACAATTGAAATTCGATAGACTTTACACTTACAGTACTTTTTCCTGATAACTCAATCATACCTTTCTTCTTTTACTGGCAAACACACCACTGATTACATGACAGCACTACTGAGAAATTCCCCGTAAAAATAGAACAGCATAAACTGAGGGTGTTCTTTTAGCTATGTTTGGTGAAAAACATAAAACAACAAGTACCTTTCCATCATATTCCTTTCGTGACAGGACTTCTGGGGCAATATATGCTGGTGTCCCAACTGTTGATTTGGGTTGTGAGTGCAATAGAGCAGACTGCAATTATAGAAGAAAAAATCAGTAGGAAACACCTTAAGAAGCACAATATAGAAGAAGAATTATGAAGAGCCAAGAAACATTAACCTTGGAGTAACCAAAGTCACATATTTTAAGGCGTGGTGTTGGGCTACCATCCAAAAGTGTGTTTTCAAGTTTCAGATCCCTGTGACAAATTTCCTGAAACAAAAGCGATAAACAACGCAAGAAAAGAGCGTGACTGAAAGGAAACTTAAAAACATCGGATAACATACCATGGAATGACAGTAACTGACACCAGATATCAGCTGTTGGAAGAAAAATCTTGCCTTTTGTGAAACAAATTTGCAAATAAATAAAAAATCACCAATCAGACAACAATTTAGACAAGTACACATGCAATATATTATCAAAGGAAAATCACTCAAAGTGCTAATAGAATTACAAGCTACAGCTTTACAACCTCATCTTCACTAAATCGACCAGCACTGCAAATCCTTGCGAAAAGTTCACCACCAGCCGCATATTCCATGACAATTGCAAGATGTGATGGAGTCAGCAAGAGCTACGAGCAAAAATAATAAGTTACATCGTGCTTTGTTCTATACCACTCAAGAGAAAGTCTTGCGTCTTTCCCTTTGTTTTGTTCTGAGATTCACTATGTAATCATCATGCTGGAATAAATGACATGAATGTGTAGCTTGAGCTTGCAGATACGCACATACACCGACAAAGGAGAGGCTTGGAAAGATTTGCCTAAAGCACTTTTGAGGTGGGTTCAGGTAAAAAATATTATGAATTTCAGGATGGAAAACCAAAGAGAGAGCCATTATGTTGGTGTAGATATGTTGCTGTAACTTGAGCTAACATGTTCAAAGGCATAATGGATAAAAACATCAAAAACAGATGAGAAGACCACAATAAATGACGAGTCACGACTGTGCCAGCAAAGAGAAGACAAGTACCAAATGATGAAGGGAACAGTAAAAGTTTCAGATTACCCTATATATGTGTAGGAGCAGGCTATGGTACCAAAATACAAATGTGCAGGATCAAAGTCAATGCAAAATCATTATCTTTTCGTAATAAGTTCCAGGTGCAAACAGGTTTAAAGATAGTAAGTTACTCATAGAGTTTAATCAAAAAGCATTACTTGAAAGACATACCTTAGCAAGAGCTTTCATAAACAAAATTAGTTTCTTACCTCTTTAAACCTGACAATATTTGGATGCCTTAAAGATCTGTGATTGATGATCTCTCTCTGAACATTCTCATCAATCTGAAACAAGAAACGGGTGATGGGAATATAATCATCGGCCAACGTACCTATCTACAACTAATTCGTAACTTGCCACAGAGCTGTAATACTTCCTATACACATCCAGTCACAACAAAAATCATGTTACCAAAAACAACAAGAACAGTGAATATAAATGTTCCGGGGAAATAATATGGAAACTTATGGTGCTTGACTAGCAGTCATTGAACAAATTTATCACCCTGACCAAAGAACTGCTCTCTAGGCGGTAAAGATATGGTTACAATAAAATTGAATATCCTCAGTACTCAGTAGTTCTACAATAGCTAGATTTCTTGCTAAGAATTTCTTCATTTGGTTCTAGCCAACTTTCTATTTTTGGTAAGTTAATTTAAAAGCTGTCTAATCTTTTAGCTTCAAAAACTAAAATAGTTCCCTAACATTTCTCCACCATAAACAGAATATTAACAATTTCTCTCTCTCCTTCAGGGAATATATCAAGTAGAAGGGGACTCCGCTAGAAATGAAAAAAGAGCCACGTGACTCTTCGAACTTTTCCTCGGTTTATCTGCAAATCTTCCTTGACATTCAATTCAGTATTGTTTCTTTCTGAAATTTAACACAAAAAATTAACATTTTTGACTTCCCCAAAAATGCTAGCCTGAAAAAGCAGTGGCAGCAATTAACCATCATAAAAACAAACAGAAATTTAAACTAAGCCCAATCAACCATTTTTTTTTTTTTTTTTTTTTTGTACAGCAGCCCAATCAAGCATTCAGCAAGCTCCTTCGTATATATACTCGATTCTCAATACCAAAGCTGTCCAAGAAGGCAAGCATGAGAAAAGAGAGAAAAACACAAACTACTTCGATCACTATTGCAAGAAGCAAGCAGAGATTACGAGACACGATTCCGAGATTTTTAATGGAAATTTTACCTTCTTTCCTCTTTCAATGTATTTAACAGCAAGAAGCTCCTTTGTCTTCTTATCCCTCACTAGCCGCGCTACTCCAAAATTCCCTGAACCAAGCTCCTTAATTGGCTCATACCTCTCCTCCATCCTTAAGCACCACAATTACACCACTAGCAAAAGATTGAAAAAAAAAACACAAATTTAAAAATCACGAGACCAAAAGTGAAAAGGAAGAAGAAATCCCAAGAGAAGAAACACTCGGATGGTGGAACTTGAGAGAGAGAGAGAAACAGAAAGAAAACCAAAGAGATGACAGAGTCCCAAACCCAACAAAAAAATAAATGGAACAAAGAACGACCGTAACCACTTAAAAATGGATTGTCTGAAAGCAAGAAGACCACCTACCCACCAATCAACCCCACCACTCCTACCAAAAAATTAAAAGTACGATGCTTCTTCCAAGCAACGTTTTTTTATCCTCATTATAATTATTATTCGCCGTAAAGAAACAACCGTGTTTATAAGGTCAAACCAGAGACTGGCTTTATCATACTACAAAACAGTAGTCGAGAGTAAGAAGACAAGAACAATTGACAAGGCTCGCTTTTAAACTAAGAACTAATCCAAATATCTAACAGGGTGTCGGTCCATTCTTCTGCCAAGTCACTTATTTAGATAAGCCCTTCAATTTTATATTTGGCCAATTCAGCACATTAATTTCCAAGTTTAGCCAATTGAAAACAAATAACTCCAAGACATTGCTAATTTTGCTAGTTTCTTTGTACTCAGCTGTTCAATTACACCTGTCTTGGAATTTATCAATCAACAATCATAGCCACTTCGTATTCAATTGGTTGAAATAGGAAATTAATGTACTTAACTGACTTAAAGTTTAAGAGAGTGACGTATTTGACGAATTCGATAAAACAGAGGATGCAGTTTGATGGGTTTGGCCTAAATTTTTTATGGAATCTTTTAAGTCCTCAAAAGAGACTGCGTGCAAGAAAAGGGTCATTTTCTTAGTTTTTATGGAACTTACTATTACTAGTTAGATATGTTATTTAGAAAATAGAAAGGTAAAAGTGTGACTGTAGGCGTACGCATAGAGCTACTAGGCAAACAGGATTGAAGGACACGTATGGTGTAAAAGTTCACTTACGAGCGTCGCGTCTGCAGACACTGCCTAAAGACAAAGGCATTACGTGAACACTGTGCTTATGTAATCTCGCACGCGGTTCGTGTGTTCTTTTTCTCGTTAAAAGGTGAGGATCGATAGTCAAATGGTGGGCGCACCGCAAGTCACTTTCACTGTTAAAGTAAGTCGTATGCAATTAGGTTACTGTTTTGATGCGGGGCATTGTTGGCCCCGAAAGACTCAATCAGCTCCATATCACAGGAGAAGCCTATCAAGCCCAATGAAAAGCAGGAAAATGAAAAAAATATATTATGCTTGTTATTCACTGAAAACAGGAACAGCTATATATACAGAGAGAATTTCTATAATTGAGTTATTCTACTCTTATAGTTCAGCTATTTTAATATGACCAATTATAATATTTTCTCTATGAATATCGGGATACAATTAAATTTCCTAACGCTTCTCCTTAAGTTGGAGAGTGAATATCAAGAACTCTCAACTTGAAAAAGCTTCTTTTCCAAATGGTTTAGTAAACACATCGACAAGTTGATCGACTGAATGAACATATTCGGTTGTGATTGAACCATCTTGAATCTTCTCACGAATAAAGTGACAATCTATCTCTATGTATTTGGTTCTTTCGTGAAATACCGGATTAGCTACAATGTGTAGAGTCTGCTTTGTTGTCACAATACAATAATGTTGGCTTTGGATGCAATATTTGCAAATCTTTCAACAAATGATCGTAACCAAGATAACTCACAACATGTACTAGTCGAGTTTTATATTCGACCTATGTTGAGGATAAAGAAACGAGTCTTACGCCTTTTTGTTCACCAAGAAATGAGAGAAGATCCCAAAAAAACACAATAGCTTGTAGTTGATTTTCGGGATATCGAGCAACCTCCCCAATCAAAATCACGAAAGCACGTAAAGATAAATCATTTTGTGAAGGGAAAAATAAACCTTGACCTAGATTATTCTTTATATATCGTAATACATGCATGGTAGCTTCCATATAAGGTTTGCGTGGAGCATGCATGAATCTATTCAATATGTGCACTAAATAAATGATATCCGGATAAGTAATAGTCAAGTAAATTAGGCGTCCTACAAATCACTCGTATAGAGATGGATCCTTTAATAATTCACCTTCATCCGATAGCTTTATATTTTGTTCCATAGGAAAATCCACGGGTTTAGCTCCCAAATATCCACCAACTTTCAAAATTTCCAAAGTGTATTTTCTTTGTGAAATGAAAATACCTTTCTTTGACCGCAAGACCTCCATACCCAAAAAATTCTTTAAGTTGTCCAAATCTTTAATCCGAAAATGATTATGCGAAATTGTTTAAGACCAAGTATGGCAACGGGATCATTACCAATTATGAGAATGTCATCTACATAGATCAATAAAGTTGTAAATGGTTTGCCTTTCTTATATGTAAACAATGAGTAATCGACTTTAGACTAAATAAATTCAGCATCTTGAATAGTGGTAGAGAACTTAGTAAACCATTAACGAAAGGCTTGTTTTAATCCATATAAGGACTTGTTGAGGCGACACACAAGATTCTCCCCCGTCGTTAAAAACCGGGAGGAAGAGACATATAGATTTCTTCGGAAAGATCACCATGAAGAAAAGCATTATAAACATTAAGTTGATGAAGAGACCAATTTTGAGCGAACTTCCAAAGTTAATAAGCAACGTATTGTAACCATTTTAGCAGTAGGTGAAAAAGTGTCATGATAATCGATACCTTCGAGTTGTGTATAACCTTTTGCAACTAAGCACGCTTTATAGCGTTCAAGAAAACCATCTAATTTGTGCTTGATTTTGTGTACCCAATGGCAACCAATAACCTGCTTTCCGGGAGGAAGAGATGTGAGAGACCAAGTATTGTTGGCCTCTAAAGGAGCTAACTCATATTGCATTGCCTTTTGCCAATAAGGTTAAGAAACGACTTGATCATAACATGTAGGCTCAACATCATTAATAACGAGTAGCAATAAATCAACGATGTTGTGGTGAGTAACAATCATAAGAGATAAAATTACGGAGAGGATACCGTGTACCTTTATGTGGAAAAGAAGACGAGGGTGACGATGATTCGGGAGATGTCACTTGATCGCAAATATAGTCATGCAAAGCTACGGGAGGAATATGAGGTCGTTGAGAATGACGCAAGGGTCCGTTGATGGTGAAGTAATAAAAGTAGCGGGGATGGGTTCCATAGATCCCGGCGAAATAGATGAATGAGTCTTTGAAGCAATAAGATCTATGATAGCAATAAGTATGACGGAATCAATGATAGGTGGAGAAGGGGTAATGGATTGATAGGGAAAGATATCTCATGGAAAATAACATCACGACTAGTGAAGACTTGGTGAGTTTCAATATCATATAATTTATAAGCTTTTTGGCCAACGGGATAACCAAGAAAAACACAACGTGTGGCACAAGGAGTAAACTTATGAGAAACATGAACATTGGTAGCATATGCAAGACATTCAAAGACTCTAATGTGAGAATAAGAAGGAATTTTACCATAAAAATGCTCAAAAGGAGTTTGGCGAGAAAGTATAGGTGTGGGTAACCTATTAATTATATGGACAAGCAGTGGAAACACATTTTGCCCAAAAGTGTAAAGGAAGATGAGCTTGAAAACGAAGAGCTCTTACCGACTCAATGATATGTCTATGTTTGCACTCTAAAACCTTATTTTTTTTTAGGCGTATAAGTGCAAGAATGTTAGTAAGCGGTGCCTTGTTGTTTAAAAAAATCTCGCATATAAAAAATTCCATTCCATTATCAACCCGAATATTTGCTATATTAGTATTGAATTGGGTTTTCACAAAAAGGAAAAAATTAGTAAAAAGATGTCTCATTTCATTGCATGAAAAAATCCAAGTAAAACAAGAATAGTCATCTACAATAGTCAAAAAATATTTAGCACCGTAAAGAGAAGGAATTTTGTATGTTCCCCAAATATCATAATGGATTAATTCAAAAGGATTGACGGAAGAAATTGATCTAATTGAAAAAAGAAGCCTTGTCCGTTTACTAAGAGCATAGACATCACAAGTATTATTTGACTTTAAAGGAAAATTTAACAAATTTTTGGCCATGAAATCTAATCTAGAACAAGATAAATGCCCTAATTGTCGATGCCGTATAGTTGTAGAAGTGTTTTAAAAAGAAGAAGGTTTGATGGTATGGGTCGCTGCGATTGAATAGGATGGTGTGACTTATTTGCTACCATTACAACCAAGTAATAGATTCTGTCTTATTGTTTACCCAAACCAATCATCATCCCCGTCATTAAATCCTATAAAATACACCAATAAGGAAAGAATGTTACCGAACAATTTAAATCTCTTGTGACTTGACTCACGGACATCAAATCCACTTTTTAAGATGGCACCCTAGGCATATTTTTTTAAATAGATAATCGAACTTAAAGGTAAACTTCTAGTAGAGATTATCAAAGCCTAGTCTCCATTTGGCATAAAAACTAATGGGAAAAGAAGTGTTCTCTTTACTATTGATATGCAAAGTCTGGAGAGGAAGTAATATGATCTATTGCACCGCTATCGATTATTAGCTCGGATGGTGACAAACTTGAAAAAGCATTAGCGTTGTTTGCCTTATAAGGAGTCGATGAAGATGGCTCGTTACCCTACATAATAGATAACATTTTTTATAACTATAATTCAGTCAATCCATTCATAACGGACTGAATCTGCTACATCATCGGAGTTTCTCCGACATTTTTAACTAAAGATTGAATATTATTGTTATGCTTGGAATGAGTGCTCTTAGTCGGTGTATGCTTGGGATGTCCAAGTAGATAACCATGTAACTTCTAGCACGTCTCTCTTATATGATGATCTATGTCACAGTAAGAACAATGCAACAACTTACAATTAAATGAATTAGGATGAGAAGAAGACAAACTAAATCGTGTCGAACAATGAGGGCTACTAGTTCATCTTTGTGAACGGCCAT